TACTTTAGAGAGGTCCCTAACAGCAGACTTTCATCATATGAGATGTTGTGTTTAGGTGGCATCTAGCAGGTTCCATGTGACAGAGTGGACCCGCCCCATAGATTTTTCTAAGCTGTAATTGTCAAAGCTAACAGATTTGCAACCTTTCAGTTAGCAGACTCACACTTAACCTTAGTGCCACTAAGGTGTGACAATGCATTGCCCAAAATAATATTTAATGTAAAAAAACACCAAACCAAAAAAAAAAAAAAACACAACCAAACAAAAACCCACACCAAACCAAAAAGCTACCAGCCACCATTTAATGCCTTTTTCTTAGGTTCACACACAGCCTCTCACATTTATATTTTTGTATTATTATTCTGTCTATACTTACTTCAATCCTGTATCTGCAGGCCTAATCCCATGCTGGCACACATATTTGTTGGAAAAAAGTCAAGAAATGCACACATTTAATTCTCACAACAAAACTGTGTCATTTATTACTGATGGGGAAATTCAAAAGTACAGTACCTATAGCTAGTAACAGAATTTCAAACCTGAACCTTTCACCTGATTAACTCACTAAATTAAACCAACCAGCTCTGGATGACTTCATTCCTCCTCTTCTCTTAAAAGCTTAATGCCCTGTGAGGAGATGGGAGCTGAGAGCAAATGGAAACCCAGAAAGGCAGAGTTGGGATTGTGACAGCTGCCTCTCGGGAATTTTAGAGTTTTGGCAGCTTCTGTGAGATGCGAGAGGTGATTGCTTCAGCGTCTGGCTTATCTGGGGCTACGCTTGGAAGGGAATGTGTAACACACACCAAGGTAAGCATTCGGGAAGAAAAGGCTCACCCAATAAAAAGTCCCTCCCTGAGAGCAAACAGGGATTTCCATAGCCACCTGGCTGAGGGGGAGGGCAGGTCTGGAGGCCCCATGGGGAAGGAGCCACAGCCAGCCATAAATGGTGCAGGGCCCAGCTTAGCACTTTTCCGCCTCCGCTCCTCTGAAACACAAAGGCGGGGTGGAAGGGCAGCCAACTAGTTTCTTTCCCCAGAAAACTCTCCATCAACCCTTGTCACAGACATGAGTAATTGAGGAAGTGACGTTTGAAAGGTGGGAGAGCTGGTATCTGATGTAAGGTAATCCCAAAACAGGTTTCTGTATTTGCTTTTTTAATAGCCCAGTTTAATTAGGGGCCTGCCTACTGTTTTCACCACCTTTCAGCACAACTTTGAAAAAGAAGGGAAATGAGTGTTTTAAAGCCACACAGGTAGGAAGGAACCGGTGAACTCTTGTCAATTCATTGGGCAATCAAAGCTCAACACAAAATATAGGCCGACTGTCTGATTATCCTTGTCCCAAAACCATAATGTAGTGGAAATAAACAGCAAAACATTTGGTTTCAAAGTCGGCTTCCCTCCCCCACCACATACCCCCTAATCAACTTAAAAGGGGGCTCTAGTGGGAGTTCCAGAGGGAGCTTCACTGCTAACCCAAATGTCATGCCTCTCTGGTAGTTCAAATCCACCAGCGATTCTAACACATCACCTTACAGTGAGGTACCCTGAATTTGGTTAAAAACCAATGTAACGTTCACAACCATCTGGGGATAAAATGTGACATGGTTCTGGTTTTGAAACTGCCACAAAACAAAATTTTCTTGCAGAAGCAATGTCTACATTTGATGCTAATTACAAATCCTTCTATATCCCTGAAGTATTGGCCACCTTCCCAAAATTCTGGCTGCCATTTTAAATCATAAAGCCAATTCCTGAGGTCAAGTTTGATGTTTTAACCAAGGAATAAAGGCCATAGGGAAAACTCTCCTTCAACCAAAAATAAAAAGATGTTAAACACCAGAAACTCTGGTGAGAAGCAGTAGGGTCTGAAGACATAGACGGAACAGGAACCAGCCACTCACGACGTCTGGTTACTGAAGGGGGAAGCTGTCCTTCCCACTAAAACCACAAGCCAGAGCCCTTATTCTCCACCTCCCTGCATCTCCATCACTCTGTCACCACTAGGACAACTCCATCACCACCCTTCCTCTAAGGAGTCCACTCATTGGGGACACACAGAAAATAGAATCTACTTCATACATTTCCCCCAAACCTTTATCTTTTCATCCCTTAACTTGTTAAAGAAAAAGAGACAGGAACAAGAACAAAATGATCAACTTAGACCCTTGAGCAGATGACTGAACATCTTGGAGTTTCAACAGCTGCAAAAAAAGACTATCAGGGTGTCGACCCTCAGAAGTTAAGCAAAATATGTGAAAGACTTCGCCAAGATGCTGGTCCAAAAGAGAGATAAAAAAGTGTGCTGTTAATAATGATCATATTCATAATATAATTATTGACCAGATACTATGTTTTGTTTGTTGTTTTTTTTTAAATTATTTGTGTGTACCGTCAAATCGGATCTGACTGGTATAGGAGGAGACTGTCCCTCCTTCCCCGGCAGAGCATCTGGTGGATTCGAACCATGCGCCTCTGGGATTGTAGTGCAGCTTCTTGCCACTAGGCCACCAGAGCTCCCCTGGATACTATGTTCTTATGGTGATGGTTGTTTGGTGTCATCAAGTTGACTACAATTCTTAGCAGCGAACCTATTAACACAGATCTGGACCTTGTCCTGCCTGTGCCATCCTCACCATCTCTGGCATACTGAAGCACATTGCTATAGTCACTTTGTCAGTCAACTTGTTATAAGGGTCTTAGAAGTGCTGAGAAGTGCAAAATAAAAACCAGACTAACTCACTCGAGACTAAATGAATGTGTCCCGGTGCAGAAAAACACACTGGCCAGCACCTGCATTAGTACACCTTTTATATACACACAGACATAGCCGTTTCTAAGCCTTGCCTGACTCTTCACAGCCAGGCCAGTCTTTCCTACCCACTGATCTCACCAAAATATCTCAATTATCCACACCCTGTGGCACACCTAACACCCAACTTGCAGTGTCCTCTGGTAAATGGGCCCTGAGACATTCTCAGCAATCTGCTAGACCGTGAAAATACTGAGAGCAGGGTGGAGTGTTCCTGTCTTCTTAACTGGTCTCAAGGCTGGAAATCATCAAGTAGAGATGGCCTAGTAAAGACTGATCCTCTGCAATACCAAGGGGTATTGCAATATTTCCTTTCTAACCCAGAAGAAAACTCCAAATAGACAAGTATCAAAAAGCAAATATGTCTAACCAATCAAGCCACAGTTTCTCTGGAGAAAGAAAAAAAAAAAATATTGCCCAGTGTCGGAACAACTTCCAAAGTCTTTTTTTTAAAAAAAAAAGTTAAGACAACAGTATGACTGCTGCAGATTTTTCACGTGTCTGTAGACTGGAAGAATAAACACAGTAGGTGCCTCAGGCAAACTGTGGGTGATTTCTCTTTTTTCAAAAGGGCTTCCTTGATTGTTATGATACTCAATCATAACAATCAGCTAAGATTGTGAGGGAGGGTAAAGTCTTTAGGCCAGAAACAAGCACCTGAGAATCAGTGAAACCAGAAGAGAAACCAACCCCTTCCCTCTATCCTATCTGGCACCAGTGAAGTGGAACAAAGCAAACTGTAGAATCCAGATTATCACAGAGATAAGGCCCTAGAAGTACATTGGGAGTCTGTGTGCATTTTCACTGCCTGAGTCAGAGCTACTCAACTTAAAAAAAAAAAACATGATACTCTAGGAGAATTGTTGTGTAGGCATGGACTGACTCATAGCTGAACCTCCCTAGTTTTCAGAGGCAGTAAATCGCCAGGGAGGAAACTGTCCATCTTTCTACCCTGGAGCATCTCTACCGGATTTGAACAGTTTATCTTTGGCTTGCTAGATAGAGAAGAGACTGCCCACCTATCTCCCTTGGAGCAGCTGGTGAAGCAGCTATTTTTGGCTTGCTAGTACAACTCCTTACCACCAGAGCTCTCCGGGAGAATAGTTGTTGTTGTTGTTATCAACAACCAGTATCAAAATGTTTTCTTCCCCACGAGCAAAAGCCACATCCCTGGCAAGTGAAATGGTTTCTCAGTCACCCTAGAGATGGTTACAGTGATGTGCGTGAAAGTCAGATCCGAGGTCCAATTCCTTAAGCTTGGCAAGAGGACTTCCCCCCTCATTTGTTCTTCTGTAAAAAGGGAATAACCATCTCACCCAACAGGTTTCTCCGAAGTGCTCAAGGCCTGATACACACTACGTATTTCTAATAAGTGCCCCACCCCCTTTACAACAGGGCTTTCTCCTTGAACTGCATGGTGAAAGGTCAAATCACTGTAAATTCAAAAAAGGTTCTCTTTTGAGCCAAGGAATTGTGGCGCTTAATGTGCTTCTCTCTGCTAACCAAAAATGATAGGAAGCCTGAACCCACCACCAGACCAAAGCCAGGAACACATTCCCCCAGAGACATGTGCATGTGGCTTCAGCTTCATCGGCTTTAGAACCTCGAAGGCGGCAGTTCTACTCTGTCCTGAGTCCAGTAGTGGATTGTGGCGTTTGAGTTTGGTTTTTGGTTGGTTTTGGTTTTTTTTTAATTGTTTGAGCCAAGGAAGGGGCTCATCCAGTTGAACGGAGCCGTGGAAGTACCAATTTTTCCCATTTCCCCTCCCCCCACCGGGGGCGCGCCCTACCTCGGCCAAGGACGCGGCCTCTCTCCAGGTGCCTGCGCGTAACCGTGAACGTATAGCTCTCGGCGCCAAAGCCGGGGTGGCAGGGCTGCGGCTCCTCACAGAGCCACGCCGAAGCCTGCAGAGGGAAAAAGGTATGAAAATGGGGCTGACGGGGGTCGGGTGGGGGGTATCGCCTCCAGCACACACGGAAACCCTCCCTCGCTCGCACCGCGAAACCCGCGGTCACCGAGCCCCTGGGAACGTCCGAGCGAGGGGCGCTGCCGCGAAACCTTTCGTGACTGAGCCCCTTTACTCTCTGTTGTCTTAATCCTGGGAGAGGTCTTTACTTTTTTACTATTCCCTTTTCCTTATACCGAAACGCCCCACTCTTTAAACTCCTTACACCTAAGGGCGTCTCAAGCCCTTTGACTCCTTGTCCTGTAGACGCCCCTGTTCCCCCTTCTTCACTTGGGAGGGAACCTGATGTCTATGGATGTCCTAGTCTTTACTTCCTCCACACGACTCTGTACTTTTCTCTGCGGCTTCCCTTATCCATGAGTCTCGAACTTTCCCAAGTTGCTCCGTGTCGCCACAGCCAGGCCCCAACCCAGCACCGCGACCCACAGAGCCCGAGCCCCAGCGACGGGCGCCCACTCTCCCAGCACTCGCGGCCGGGGGCAGGCACGCCGCGCCCTGCTTCACCCTCCGCCCAGCTTCCAGACCACTCCCGGCCTTCCGACACCAACTTTCTCCAAAGTAGATGGAAAGGGGACAGGGAAAGAGTGAGCCAAATCCGAGCGCGGAGCACGGCGCCGGAAGGCGTCCCCTCGAGGCGGGCGCGTCGCGGTACCTGGAGCAGCAGCAGGAGCGCGCAGAGGCTGCGGCGCGAAGCGCCCATGGCGGGCCGAAGGGGCGCCGGGCGGAGGCGGGACGTGCGGGACGGGCTTGCGAGACTTCCCGCGGCTCACAGGTGCTCTGGGACTCTGGACGCCACTGAGTAGAGTGGCGCGGCTGCCGCCAGGTGAGCCCCGAGGGCGCCGCCCCCGGAGCCACTGATTGGCCAAGCATACACCTGCCCGTCGGCAGCCAATTAGCTGCATAGCGCAGCCGTACCCGCCCTCCGCGGAGCGGGAAGGCAGGCCGCTCGCCTTCGGCCACACCCAACGTCCCGCCCTTTGGTTCACAAGGGACCCTGTGACCTGCAGCCTAGAGTTCTCTGTAGGGATGTGAGGACTCCAGAGTTCGAAGTCCGCGCATGCACCCTACGCCGTTTCTGTGGAGTTGATTGGTAGTGATCCTAGGGGTCGGAGCAGAACTGCCCCACTACCCCATAAGAATTTCCAGATTTACCTAAGCAGTGCACAACCTTCACACTTAACTACTTACCTACGGATAGCCACTGGGTTTGAATCTTAGTTCATTAAAACCAGTGGCTACTTAAGACCTGATCAGAAAGGGCCCATTGGGCATTTAATGCTGCACCACAGCCACTATCACTACCTTCTCTGGAAGGTTCCATCCCCAGTAATATATCTAGTTATGTCACTGGAACTGCAGGATCTCTCTCCTTCAATGGTCAATCATCAAATTGACTCAAGATCAGGACCACCTGTCACTTGAAGCCTCCGTTTCTACACTTTCTAAATGGGAATAATAATCACGAACAAACGCCTGCCTAATATTGTTGTACATTTGCCATGCAATTGTTGCGGATGTTGTGTTGTTATATGCCGTCGAGTCGCCTGCGACTCATAGCGACCCCATCTATACGAGCCCTAAATCCTGTTCTATACTGTGCCAACCTCACTGTCTCTGACACACCTACTCCCACCACACCAATCACTGAATTGATCCATCGTGCCGAGGGTCTTCCTCTCCTGTTCTTCCCCTCCCCCAAACATGATATCCCTCTCCAAGGACTGGTCCCTCCTTAGGACACTCCCACAGCATGTCAGACAAACTTCAGAATCCTTTACTCCAAGGAGCATTCCGGCTTCACCCTCTCCATGACAAACCCATTTGTTCTCCTTGCAGTCCACCGTATATTCAACACTCTTCTCCAGCACCACAGCTCAAAGGCATCAATTCTCTTTGTCATCCCTAGCCCCTGTCCAGCTCTCTGATGCATAGCACGCGATTGCAAAAACTACAGCCCAAATCAGGCGCACCTTAGTCTCCAGTCTGATGTCATTGCTCTTCAGTACTCTGGAGAGGTCCCTGATGGCTGACTTTACCAATGCAGTCCATCTCTTGATTTCCTGGCTGCTGGTACCAAGAGTGGTGACTGTTGCGCCAAACAGACTAGAACTGTTAACTATCTCAATCTCTTCACCATCCATACTGATGTTGCCAATTGGCCCAGTAGTGAAAATCTTTGTTTTCCTGACGTTGAGCTTCAATCCGTATTGAAGGCTGCAGTCCTCTGCCTACTGCAGCAAGCAGGTCCTCCTCAGTTTCAGTAAGCAGGGTCAATAAGGCAAATATTTCTTACACCATAAAACTGTACAGATGGGAGAGGTTAACACCTCTCTAAAAGTAACACTAGGCCTTGTATATTGTGTGCTCTGAGCTAAGCGTTGTAATCATAATTTAATCTCATTCTAAAACAAACCAAAGACTGCATCATTGAAGCCAGAAGCCAGTGGCAGAGAACTGGAACCTAACTCCCTCTGATTCCAGTGTCCTTGCTTTTGACTGTCATGCTTCACTTACGTCCCACTGGTCTTGCAGCTGGAGAGGTAGTTGTCTGACTGACTAAGGTGTTCCTATTACTAATCAAACCAAAAGATAGGCAATTTGAAACTACCACCACTTTGCTTCCTGGGAGAAAGATGAATCAGTCTACTCTTGTGAAAATTACAGTTTAGAAACACCATGGAGTAGTTCTATTCTGTTCTTACAGGTCTCTGTGAGACTGAATCTACTCTATGACAGTGGTTTTAGTTTGGGGATTTTGCTCAACATTGTACAGCAAGTCAATGTCAAAGCTAAAGCTAGAACCAAAGATCTCCTGATCCCCAGGCTGAGGTTAGTTAAGATTGAGGTTGGGTTAATGCCACACCACAGCCACCATCACCGCTATTTCTGGAGAACTCTGCCCCCAGTCAAATAATTTTAGGATCAAGGTGGGGGGAAAGGCAGACTTTATATCAGACAGCTTCCCTTTCCTGTAGTCAGCCACATCTGTGTGGCTTGGCTTTCCTGTCCTACCTCCCTGCCCCCTACTCGGCAAGGACACCTTTCCTTTCATCCGCCAAGCATGATGTTAATTGTTGTTGTTGTTCTGTACCACAGAGTCAGAACCAACCCACAGCCAATCTTCCTAAGCCAGTAAGGGAGAAGATTACCCATCCTTCTCCCTTGGAGCAGCTGGTGGCCTTGAACCTTTGGGATTGCAGAGCATCTTCTTGACACTAAACTACCAGAGCTCCCTTCCAAGCAAAGTCAGAACTCAGAACTGTAAAACAGTATGTGGACTCAGCTGCTCACTAGCTATGTGACCTAGATCCAGTCAGTATTCTCATCTGCATAATCAAACTCATTGGATCCTATTGGATCCACTGGGTTTCCAAGCTGTCATCTTTATGTAAGTGGACCACCATGCATTTTTCCCCTGTTGAGCTGCTGATGAATGCCTAACCACTGCACACCACTTTTTTTGTTTTTATAAATGGATTGAAATTAACTAATGAAAGAAAATCTCCAAACAGCTTACTTGGCACATAGTAGTAACTGCTCAATAAATGTTTGATGTGGTAGCTGTTCCCTTGAAAGGATCACTCCCTTTTTTCCGCTCTGCACTGGGAAGGCCACATTTGAACAATTTCACCCAGAGCGAGAGGTGAACCCACTGAGGATACTTCCTCTGAGAACTCCAGAGGAGAGGCACCATTTCTGGTAGGTCTAGGTCACCCTCTGTCCCCTTCATTTTAATGGGTTTCTGAGCACACGCCCAGGCCATTTAGGTTTCTGCATCTTGGCTCTTGGCCTCTTAACCCACCAGGAGGCTTAGAAGAAAGGCTTCGGTATTTCCTTTCCCACTGAGGCTCCTGTTGGACTGTGCATTAAACAAGATAATGGAAACACAGAGGGAGGCGTTTCCCCCATGGGGCAGCCTTGCCAGTTTATTTTTCTTTTGCCCAGTTATGTAAAAATACATATTTTATACCATCACTCGACCTAGGGAGTCTTTGGGGTTTTGCTTTCTTCCACCCAGCAAGCTCTAGTAATTCCACAGCGACTCATCGACTCTTCCATTACACTCTGATAATTCAATAAAAAGATTTTAGGAGACAATTAAGGGCAGTAAGGACAGGTTGGGCTTGATATTCCTTCAGACTTCTCGGCTGATCTGAGTCCTGAAAGCTCCAGGTCTTGAAAGGTGCCCCTGCAGCTGTCCTAAGTTTAGAGGGAAAACAAGAGATTCCATGCAGAGGTAGGGTGATATATGATATTGAGTAATACAGTGACTTGCCTCTGCTTCCTCTTGTATATCAGATATGAATACTTTATTGGAAAACTCAAATAGGACAATATAGGTAAGCTAGGCAGAAAATAGCATTTTTGTCAACCACGGACCAACCAAAAAACCCAAGCCTGTTGCCCATTTGGACTCATGAGTTACAACCCAATGAGTTACATATTAAAAAAGAGAAGGGAGCTCTGGTGGCCTAATGTCAAAAAGCTTCACTGGAATCCCAAAGGCACGCGGTTCGCATCCACCAGATGCTCCACTGGAGAAGGAGAGGCAGTCTCCTCCTGTGCCAGGCAGAATAAATTCCTTGATTCTATGGCACAAAGCAAGAGATAAGGAAAAAAACTGAGCTGCTTAGAATTCTCTTGGCTGTAAACTTTCTGCTGTGTCACTGTTGTTAGGTGCAGTTAAGTCTGTTCCAACTCAGAATGAAACCCTGTCCCAGCCTGTCAGAACCTCTGCTGTGTCTAAACTTATTGCAGTCACTATGTCTGTCCTTCTCGGGGGCGGGAAAGTAGGGTGCTGTTTCTCTGACAAGCTTCAAATTCCAGCCTGCTTCTTTGGGTTGAAAAAAATAAGAGGTTGGAAAAATCACTTTACTCTCAGAGTTCCTGTTTCCTTATTGGTAATGTTGATGGAAAGGGAAGCTCTCACAGCCTTCGTGGGAGGGAGAGCGGTCCCAACCACCATGTGTATCTCAGTTCCTGGAGAGAATAACTCCCTTCCTGTGATTACTGCTACCTGAAAACCTGGCTGGTGGGTCAGCTATGCGTTGGTTCTGATTCCGTGACAATGCGTGTTTGAGTCTGAGTGCTGATGGAACTTAATTCATAAGGTTATGGTAATCATTCTATAAAAGTAGTTGTCCTTGTGCCATTGCCTTTGCACCAACTCAGAGCGATCTTAGCTATTCGCAACTTAAGCTCAATACATTTCTGTCTTGTTCTATGAGGAAATTATGAGCTGAATAGGAAGTCTCCCTACCCTCAGGCTCTTCCATTCCCAGCCCCCCACACACTCCCTACCCCCTGCCATTGAAGTCTCTTGGTGACTCACCATTTACCTGGAGAAACTCTAACCCGCCAGTCATTTTGACCCTCCTCTTTGATTTGAATTTCAAAGGGGGCTTGAGAGAATGACCTTGTTTCTCTCAAAAGAATGAAAGTTTTGGCTTTAATAAACTGTTAAACTGGTGTCTTCTAGGGGTACTGAAGATTGCATGGAAATCTGTGGGTGAGGAAAGGAGCAAGACCCATTACTTTCATTAGCTTTTGGCTAAGAGAGGTCAAATTCTAACCTAAGGATTGTCGTTGTTGTTGTGTGGTGTACAGCTGGAACTGACCCATAGCTGACCCTCTAGTGTGGACCACAACTCATAATGACCCTTTGAACAACAGATGAAACCTTGCCCTATTCTGCACCAT